GGCAAATTAAAGTATCATTAGAGAAGATATTGCTACAAGGCTCTGTTGTAGTATTTAATATTGTAAATAATTTCTGTTTGAGACGTTAGTTATCCTTAGGAGCAAATCTTAATCCCACAACATAAGTTATTTAAGAGATTTTATTAATTAGGTATCTAACAACTCGGTGCTTGTGAGTTGAGAAGACCCAGTTTTATTCATGAACACTCTTCTCAATAAACTTAGTAGTTAATATACATCATAAAAGTGACTTAAGCAAAGCCCATTTACTTCAAATTCACATAACATATCAAACCTATTAGGTATAATTAATTACTAAGAACTCTTATGTTATAAAGACACCTATTTAGAATTATTCAACAGTGAATTTGTGCAATTCTCTAAAGTTCAAAATCAAAGTAATTCCCTAGTAATGAGATTACACTTTATTTTATAAAGCTTTATTTTATAAACTAGTCAAAAGAAAACAGAATATTTGAAAACAGTTAACAGTCATCCAGCATGACCTAATAAGTGGCTATGACAATGTATCGTTCTGGGATCTTAGTGTTCTGGCTACTTCTATATGCTATTATAATGGGTACTTTAAGATTAAAATTACTAGAAGAATAAGCCCTTGTCTCAAACTATACCTTCACCACTCTTGGTAACTAAGGCGCTCTCATTACTTATTTTAGCAAGGCACAGGTTTTCCTGGAAAAATCAGTACTCTGTCCAAAATTAATAACAAATACAACCACTGAAGTGCCATGAGTGACCTAGATTGCTCTCCACCCCCGCCCCTCCTTCTGGTAAGAGTACACACAGTTCAACTCCCTGTGACAGGTTTTGCTAGTGAGAACACCACATTTACAGAAAAAGATGGTTTAAAACTTCCACTCTGTTTAACCAAAGATATCCATACATCTAAGACTATGCCAGCTTCCAACAGATTTGCACACAATCAGAATCACCTCCTCAGATATCTATTTTTAAAGCATTAGGTAGAAGCCAATGTCCAAGTGTGGTTTCAGGCTGCAAATCCGAATTTTATATTGACACTTAAGTAGGTGCTACAGGTAAGAGAAAAGTCATTTAAGAAAGAAGGGGGAAGGGAAAGGGAGAAAATTTGGTTTGGATACACCACTGCATCTCATACAGGTGGACATTCCTCGTTACACTAGAGGTTGTGAATTGCATTTCTCTTCATTTGATTTTTATGCTGCATAAAGGAACACCGTCACTCCCTTGGGGGACAGAATTTTGCTCTGTCAGAGCTTTCTGTTGCGCATAACAGTTTAAAAAACTTCCAATTAAAAATCGAACTAGTTTTCCTGTTGTCTTGTTGGTGCATATATACACACACTTTCTTTTGTTCCAGAGTTCCTTTGGAGACATACATTGAAAGTCTTCTATCCCTCCACATTTTAAAGATGGGGAAATTGACGTTCAGCAATGCAATATACAAAGTCATAGAAAAGTAATCTCAGTTAAGGTCACTAGTGTGTCTACTCACAAGTACTTTCAGCTCTAACAGCCTGCAACTCAAACCCAATGTAAATCCAGTTTCAATTATCTAACAAGTTATGAGTTGGATTGCATTAATAAATCTGATCTTACAACAGCACATAGTGTGATGGTAAGGTGGAAAGCAATGTAATCCAATCCTTACCGTTCTCGGTTAAATTTGAGTGAATGAAGTATAGCAGGTCTCTTCTGACGTAAGTTCCACAGGTGTAAGGTATCATCAGCCAAGGCACTCACAAGAGCTCCCTATGAGAAAGAAGAAGTTTTAGTCGACTTAGGTTTATAAACCTAGTAACAGTATATCATCGTCATAGTGGAAATACATTACTTATTTGCTACCAGAATAAAAAAAAAATTATAAGCATGCTCATCAACACCATAGCACAGGTAAGTGCTAAGTAGTAGTAACAATGCGATCACGTGTCATTCAGCTCACTCACATTTGGTTCAGTGCTATACTGGGGGGTGATGGGGAAGGAGAAGCTTTTTCCAGTGCGTGCACATCACTTCCCTCATGCCCACCTCTGTAGAGAAATTAAGCAATGAACTCAACCACTACTATCTATGTGCTGACAAAGCTAGTGAGGTTTGACTTCACCATTCCTCTGAGCTAGAAGTCCCTCTACAAATCTGGCCCCAGCTAGCTCAAGAACAGCACTGCTGTTAGATCTCAGCTGCTATACCCCTAGAAAAAACACATCTGAAATTACTGAGGGATCAGATTAAGCATCATTGCTCAGCTCATGTCTAAACCAGTAACTCTATCAAAATAAAATTAACTACCTACTGAAACTGTTAGTACTATTGAAAATGTACTTTACTACTTCAAGAGATAACTTGCAATGTTCAGTGACATGAACAAATATTCCTAGGAAAAAAGTTCTTGCTTATAGCAAAAGAGTACTCTAGAGACAAAGATATTTTCAGCAGTTAGTCAAGCATTTTCTAAAATTAAAAAAGTTAATTTATTTATAATTGTTATTACTGTTTGCCATTCATGCTGAGAATCACTTCTGTTAGCTGATTTTGATACTTAATGAGAAATGGAAGAAAATACACTATCTGCTCTGAATTATGGAATATGTACATCATTTTACTAACCTCATTAATTAGGAACTGAAGCTGGATTACTGCAGCTCCACTGTCATGTTGGCAGTAGCATTCAACTCCTGGCCGACCAAAGCTGGAATTGGTACCATTAAGGAATATTTGTTGTATGTAACACAGGAAAAAACCAAACACCATAACCGACATTGTCACTTTCACTAATACTGCATTCAAACAGGTTAACATCCTGCTTCTAGCTAGTGCACTCAACATTTAACCACATAGACCTGAGTGATCACCAAAAAAATAATTTATAAACAACACAAAGTAACACAAGAGTTGAGGCCCATCTTATTTATCCCCATGGAATACAAAAATTATGTATAACTGCTTAACTTAGTTATTTAGAGGGATTCTTCATAAATGAGAACATAGGAGAATGATGAAGCAGTTATTTTAGTAGTGTTAAATATCAGGACTAGTATAAAAGGAAGTTAATCTAGATAAGCATCATAATCAAATGATCACATTTTTCAAGTGCAAAAGGAGCTTTCTCTCCTTTTTAAACACTACTTACAGATGAAAGAGCTGAATAATGCAAGGCATGTTAAAAAAACATGCTGTGACAGAGATGATAAGATCAGTAGCCAAAATACAGGAGTCAATGGGAAATTATGTATAATGTAAATTCCAGGATCTCTGTATCAAGACTTCCTGGATTCACACCAACTATGAGATAACAAAAGATTGTTCATTTTCCTCCCACACATAAATCAGTCCTATACTTCCATAATGAATATCAGTTAGAAGCAGCAGCAACACAGATTCTTTCAATTCTCCACAGTTGATTCATTTATTAGTTGCAAAGATTCTGTATTTCAAATGTGGTTATCCCCTTTCTTCTGATATGAAATTAAGGCAATTCTCCAACCTCTAGGAGACATAGCAGAAATAACACAAGTCATGCTTGTGTTTCATGCAAAACACAATTTGCATTAATTATGCAAAGCAGTCAGTATTTCATCATTATAGTATACCCAGGGTTTCTGGAGTATAGTTTGACAAAGAGCTGAACACCTCTTATTTTAAACAAGGACCTTAGTTTTTGGAAGAAGGGAAATAATTCCAAAGATGTATGCAAAACAGGGAATATAATGTACAATTTGTTCTCTCAGTATACACTAGAAATTAATAGAACAGTACAATTCTCACCCATTCTGCAAGTTTTCCATTTTCTGTGAAATTGTTGATCAAAACCAAAGTGGATACAAACACTCTTAAAAATATATGCATTCACACTAGAGACAGTTGAAAGGCTTAAGAGACTATTAGGTTGCATGCAAATCAAAACTCAAACGCATCTCCTGCTCAGCCTCTAAGCGGAAAGATAAAACGTAAGTAGAACTACAATAGGAACAAGTCTGCTTCAACACACCGCAATATTTTAACTTTTAAACTTCAATCACGTTCTTCTCCTAGACTAATGAATCTGCATAACATCCAGCTAAATGATGAGAGATATACTAGACAGATGCTGAATAATCCAGCAAACTTAATACCAGCTTTCTTCCCCGAACAGAATTAGTAATTTAATTTTGTTCTGGCATGGAAAGGCTTAAAGAGCCAGCTTGCCTCACCTGTTTTTTCCCTTGTATTTTAAATTCTTATCAATATGTTTCCTGTACAAAGAAGTAACCTGTATTCCACTGACAGTTTATAGCTCTTAAAAAAAAAAGACAGACAGATCTTGAAACTTGGGGGGGGGGTGGGGGGGGGTCCCCCTAAATGATACCTTCCTACACAAACTCAGAATACTTCTAATGTAAAATCATTGCTTTCGCATTAACTATGGACTGACTACACAAATTGCCAGATTGGAAAAGATATACCCACAAGGAATATCAGAAGTTTCAGAGCAGATTTGCTTCAGCTTTGCTCATGCTCCTGCATTCACTTGAATTAATAATTATTTGCAGAAATAGACAAAAAGCAATTTCTGAAAGTGAAATTCAGATGTTTGTGGGAACTGAATTTTAAAACTTGTTATTTATCTGCACTGACACAGGTAGTTTTCTAACAAGAGAAGATTTCCCTAGCCCCTCCCCTGAACATTAGCTTCCAGCATAATTAAATGTAACCCTTGTTCATTCACCCACCCACAGTTTATTTGGAATTGAGGCTTTACAGCTACCTTGCCTCAAAACAAGACGAGTATGACCCAGAAAAACAGAGAAGCCCATGGATTCCTCTGGTTACTCCAGCCTTCAAATCCTATCCCTCAAATGTTCTCTTTAAGCATTTCTGATACAAGTATTTCTGGAAGCACTGTTATAACTAGTCAGTAGAAATTTCAATATTAAGAGTACTCGAATGTTTCTTTAAACAAAAAATCCTTTTGCATTTTCCAGGACACCTGAACCAGTTCTCTCTAGAAATCAGTAAATATGCAGCACTGGGAGTAAGTTTACACAAGCTTTAAAAAGAAGCTTGCTCTGAATGTTTGGCAAATCAGTGGAAGCTTCATATGCAGATCTGAAAATAGAGTTTGGCCTCTTTTATAGTGCTTACAGTTATCAAAAAAATAAAAATAATCCTTGCAGCTAGTCCCATTTACTTCCTTTACCTAAGGATTATGTCATCTTCACTTTTTCACCTAGTAGCTAAAATTATTCTTCTCAGCTCAAATTAATATCATCCTCCTAACCAGTATTAATCTTCTTTTTTAAAGCAATGCAAAGCCTCCCAGTTTTGCAGGGTATGCTGAGTTGAAAAAGCGCACCACTTAAATACTGACTGTAGAAGGATAATAATACACACCTGTTTCAGTACATGTTAAGCATTTCTCAACCACACAAAACGGGCAGCATCGCAGGGAATGCAGTTTGTCCAAATCCTCTATACTTGCATATGTGTGCTTAAGGCAAGAGAGCTCACTGTACTAAGCAGTGATCATCTACCACATAGTAGTCCCCAAAACAGGCAAAAATTATAATGAATAATGACAAGATGGGCAAACCATTTTAATTTTGTGGACAGGAGAAACTCTCTGCCAAAGACCTAGGGTAGCTCTAGAGGAAAGAGTCTGCTCTGAGCAGTTTTCTAATCAAAGACCCATCCCTCCTCCTTCACTTCCAAGCATTTCTTTCACTACTCCTGCTTCATCCCCTATTCCAAATATTAACAAATTGGTTAAATTAACAGCTTCTCAGCTGTACCTTTGCATATTGCTTCTGTGTTCCCCACCACCATTAGGAAATTAACCCTGGAAAACACTAGTATTTCATTGTCTTCACTGCATGTTTTTTGAAAAAGCAAGAGACAAAAGCTGTGGCTGAGAGAAGGAAGAGATAATGCACTCACGTCCTAACATCAGCGTTCATTTTCATAACTGCTACGAGTGCAGGTCATACATAAGAAAAGCACAGTTTCATGCTAATTTAATATCACATGACACTGATTTTACTTTGATTTGTGAGAAAAGGCAACAGCTCCAAAAGATTTTTTTTTCCAAACAAGCTTCAGACCTAAGCTTACACTTTTTTCCCAGGCAAAATTAAGGCATTTCAATTAGTCATATGTGAGTTCTCTCTGCAAAATATTCTTTTTAAAAGTTATTACTATTATCTACATAGCTTATCTACATAGGAGCAACTCAGTGCACGTCTGCCCTTAGAAGTGACATTTTGAAAGAGAAAACTGATTTCAGAATATTTATGACAGACTCAAAAGAACAGTCCTTTTTTTTTTCTAATTCTTTAACTTAAGTTACTCTAAGCAGACTTAAGGAATATTGGGTTCTTCTTCACCTGTGGTTGACCCCTCTGACATAGGAGACAGTTGCAAAAACTGTAGCTATCAATACAATTCCTAGCATAAGTCAGTTATGTATACAGAGACACATTTATAATATACTTTCCAAACAATCACCACACAGATATATGCATCTTCATGCCATTACAATGCTATAAAAAGTTTTGATAGTACAGCACAAGATATGGACCATGCTCCTATATCAGATTTGCCAGTTATGATAGCTTGAGATCAAGACAAATCTGAAACTGTAGCAGCTTTTAAAATTCATTCCTAGATACTTCTCAAAACTGTAGCTGTAACACCTCACAGTATTTAAACATTTGACAATTTTGATGCAAAAAATAGATCTCCGACTAGAGGAAAACATACCAATGATCTGAACTGCATACAAAACACTAAGGGCAGTAGATTACTCACACTGTTTTTCTGTATACCAGTCTGTAACATATAGCTCTCCAGGACTGCATATTATATCTGCATGTTTTACTATAGTCATTGCTATGTAACAGTTTTCCACTTCACTTAATCAGACCCCAAATTATTTTTATAGGCAGCAAAGCCACCACTTACTTTGCACACACTTTTGTATGTGCTTTGATTGTGGTCTCGAAGAATTATTGTAACAGAAAAAAACACACACTGATGGTGAGTTTCCCAAATAGTATTCTAAGTACATAAAGATTAAAAGTCTGTCTGGTATTACTCACCATTGCCAAGTCTGGATACAATCCAACAACAGATAAAAAACAAAGACTTAATTTATATCAAGTTACAGAGTACCATAAAGTCCTGGTGATACATCTAAGCAGGACCGAAGCAGTACAAGAGCAGCTTCACGCAACTTTCCTAACTGTTTGTCCATCTTACCTGCACCTAATCAGTATTATTACTTGCACATACAAAAGCAAGCTCTCTCACAGAAACAATCTCATAAAGAACAATCTATCAAGACACACAGCTATTTAGCACGAGCGTTATTCAAAAAGTCAGAAAGTACTACAGTCAACACTGTCTACAAAACTAACTTTGACCTTTCCCATCCATGTATTACCAAACAAGATAAAATAAAAATCCACAAAACACTTTCGGGAGAGTTTTAGACTTCATACCAATCCTGATACGGTATCACATCACTATTTTTCAACAACTTCAGGATTACAGAGTTTCCTTCTAAAGCTTTAGGCCTGCATAGCATCTTGCTGTGTTTTATCACTCAGCTAGGCAGGTCTTTATTCCTCCCCATGTCTCAGTATTTATGTCTGCAAAAGTATACAACAGTATCTAACATTTCAGATCCACTTTCCTGTATGTAAATAACAGCAC